TAGAGCCCCCCCCCCCCCAACACAAGAACCCCTGACCAGAGGGTCATGAATTTCATAATTTTGGTAGAAGTACTCATGCTCATCAAAACTATGTACTTATTTAATCTATTTAATACCCAGGAGCAGAGAAGAAGATTTTCAAAGAATTCATGTATTTTCACTATATAATCAATAGAGACCCCACCCCCCTAACACCTGAACCCCTGACCCTGGGGCCCTAAAATTCACAATTGTGGTAGAGGCATTCTTGCTCATCATAACTATGCACTTAGTTTATTTAATACCTAGGAACAGAGTAGAAGATTTTCAAAGAATTAATGTATTTTCACTATATAATCAATAGAGCCCACCCCCCCCCAACATCAGAACCTCTGACCCTGGGGCCCTAAAATTTACGATTTTGGTAGAAACACTCTTGCTTATCATAACTATGCACTTAGTTAGTCTATATAATATCCAGGATCAGAGGAGAAGATTTTCAAAGAATTCATGTATTTTCCCTATATAATGAATAGAGCCCCACCCTTACACCAGAACCCCTGACCCTGGGGCCATAAAATTCACAATTTTGGTAGAGGCACTCTTGCTCATCATAACTATGTATGTAGTTTGTTTATTTAATAACCAGGAGCAGAGAAGAAGATTTTCAAAGAAATAATGCATTTTCACTATATACTTATTTAGCACCACCCTAGCACAAGAACCCCTGACCCCAGGGCCATGAATTTCACAATTTTGGTAGAGGACTCAATGCTGATTACAATCATGCAAGAAGATTTTTAAAGATTGCATTAATTTTAGTGGTTTTGGCCCCACCCCTCAGGCCCCAGGGGGGCAGGGATCATGAAATTCACAATTTTTGTTCCCCTTCACCCATAGATGCTTTGTGCCAAATTTGGTTGAAATTGGTTCAGTGGTTGCAGAGAAGAAGCTGAAAATGTTCAAATGTTAATGCACAACGCACAACGCACGACGCACAACTCACGACGACGGACGAAAACAGATAGCAATAGGTCACCTGAGTTTACTCAGGTGACCTAAAAAGACAATGAAAAAAACATGCTAGAATGTTTCATTTACAAGCAAAGTGTAACAGAAAATATTCAAATTCAACTCGTATGTTATTTAAGGAAAGAATATAACAGCTACCCATTTTATACGGTTTTAACTGGGTTGGGACAGTTTACGCTTTATAAACCGCAAAGCCGTTTTAAAAAAAGCGTAAACTGTTCCAACCCAGTTTATACCGTATAAAAGGGTAGCTATTAAATTCATTGCTTATAACTTAATTTTCATTTAATTGATGTAAGAAAAAAAGAATATTGTTCTAACAAAATGACTTCAATTTGTACTAAATTTGAATGTAACGTCAGGGGCATTGATACGTTTTTGACGCAAGTCATTTTATACGATATAAAGTAAATTTTTTTATCCAATCAAATACAACGTTACAACCAGAATTAAATTATTGGTACATGAAAATAATTTTTGTTGAATTGACAGAGATTGTAAATGCCTAAACCCAAATGATGTATCAAGCATTGCAAAATGATACTTGTATATACTACGAGGAAAAAGAAACGCATAATAGCATAATAGCGAAATATATTTAACTATATGGCCGAAAATTATGAAAATTGGTCAAATGTGTATTTTGATTACTGTGCACTAAAATTGCTGGTCAAAATTACTCAACCATGAAATGTATGGCGTCACGTAGGGGAAATGATAAAAAGCCAAAAACACGTGCATGTTGATGATGACAATTTTATGATCACATTTTGTGGTGCCAATCGATTCATTGGAGTTATAGACATCGTTTTCCGCATTTGAAATCAGTATAAATTTCGTGCAATCATGGTATGGCTGACGGAAGTTACACTGGTTCCAGTAATTGAATTGCGTAAGTTAATAAAAAGGCAACAAGATGTTGCTGTGAAGTTTGTTTTAAACTTTTCAACAAAAAAATGTTTTTCAGTTGTCAGAGAGTAAATTAAAAGGTTTCCAACCAACGATGGCAGTGACGTTGACGCGTAACAACGTCATATCAAGACAGGGCTTTTCATCATGTCACCTCGGTTGTTGTCGAGGTGTTATCACTGAAACCGATATTTATACAGCAAACTATCATACCAATATTTTCACCCTAAAATTGACAGAAATTCTCTGCTCTAATTTGGTCCGCGAGCTTGGCAACTTTTACGTCGATTTTACTCTCACGCGCGCACGTACGCGTCGTGTGCGTAATGTTTTTGGCATATTCACACTCGGAAAATGTAGCCAGTGTTTGTCGAGACTTTCTCACAAACATTCACGTGTACCAAACCAGCTGGATTCTGTAAATTCTATCCTAAAATGAAAAATCGTGGCACTCATTTGGCGGGGGGATTTGTTGGCTTTGGAATAATACAGCTTCTATCAACCATTAAGACTATTGTCGGAAGCGTTGAATAAAATCAAATGAGAAAGATAAATGCGCTGGTGAACTCAATGCACAGGAAAATCAAGGCTGTTACCAATGTGCAAGGGAGATGATGAGAATTTTTATTTTAATTTTGAGGGGTATCGACATATCAATTTCAATAACTCAGGAATTATCAGTCAAAGTCAAACAAGATTTTGGTAACTTGTAGATTAAAGATGAATTAAAATGTTTGATAACAATACTGGAAAACATTTTCGAAATAATAGTTTTAATTTAATTTAAAAGTAAAATATGCGTTTCTTTTTCCTTTCAGTATATTACAGTACTATGAGACTGATAATGGCGTCTGTGGCGTAATCGGTAGCGCACTGGACTGACAATCTCAGGGTCGAGAGTTCGCTCCCCAGCGTCGGCGCAGTCGGGTTTTCTTCAGAAAATGAAGCCGTGCACGATTTCAGCATAGTATGCTTACGCTATATAAATCCTTAGAACACTATGCGAGAATAGTAGGGTATGGGTTATATAGAGACAAACTGACAGGAAGCATAATAATGGTCAATATGGGCCTTATAGTTACTTTGGAATGAGACCAGCTCCAAAAACTTAAACCTAGTCACTCATACTGAAAATAAGGGCCGATTCAACATCCGAAGTAAGGCCTGGTAGTGTGTGCATCTATACATTTAGATGTACTATTTTTTTAAGTTTGGTCAAAATACTTGAAAATGAGACAAGCTACAAAAATATTAACCTGATCATTCTTTGAAAACTTGACTGGTACAATGAAACATACTTTAGGTAAAAAAAATCAATGGACTGTTCTTTTCCATTTGAGAAAAGTAACATTTATGATTTAGTTGAAAATCAGAAATTGGTGAATATATTCTATTATTTTGTCATTTTTCTTACATGCAATAAATTTAAACAATCGTTTATTTTTTATTTGCAAAGTACAACATTTCTTTACATTCAGTCAATATATTTGTCATTTTTGAAGCATAAACAGGCTCCCAATGAACCCTTAAAAAAACCCTGGCAGTAAAAATAGTTTGCGTTCTCAATACACAGCTGAGGCGTAGGGATCTGAATCCTCAAACTTATACAGACCTTGTGTCTTCATTTTTCAAAATGTAACATGGATTTTCACCATTTAGTGTCACCATATATTAAATTCACCAGTAGCTAGACAATCTCTTTCAGCAGCTTTAAAATACTTTATCAACACATGCATCTGAATCTGACAAATGTTATTTCAAATATTTTTTTCAAGGAATTCCAATAAGCTTACCTGACCATTCTACTCACTGACGCCATGTACACAATTTGCTGTTCGCGCTACATGTCATAATTTTAAACTTAAAATTTCAATAACCCGACATCCAACTTTCAATACAAAAGAAAAATATATCCATGTGTGTTGAAAGTAGATCAATTTTAGCTAATCCATTGAATATTTCCTCATCTATGTATTCAGGATAAAATTTTTTTCTTCAAGTCCGTTTTGCATGTAAAGCCGTCACTAGGTTTCAGGTTAAATGTTAGATATATCTGAGCTAAAAAAAAAAAAATTAATATGCGTTTCCGTTTCATTTTCTGTTTATTTTGATGGATTCTATAAATGCATTTTTAGGATATGAAAAACTTCTTTTCTAAAAGACTTTTTGTATTTTCACGCATATTTGCAAGATTTTATGCGATTATATTTTTTCGTATTTTTTTTTTTCTTTGCAACTAGTTATTATCGGCCGCTGCTATTTGTGGTTGTGTTAGAAAGTGCACATGGGGAAATGAGACGTTATTTTTGATTGGTTCAGTAAAATTAATTCTTAAATAATAACAAGTAAAAACCATGAGTAAAATATTTTAAAAACTTGCTTTAAAGTAAGTATTAATTGTTGTTATTGTATTTCAATTTCATTATCATTTTTCATCAGAGAATTTATAATTTAAGGTTATATAAAAAGAGTTTACAATAGATAGTCCCCAGTCTGGGAATGTACGTAACATATGAAAGGAAATCGTCATGATTTTCCGGATATTATTAATGTTGGATTTCAATTTTTGAAATTTTTTTTTTTTTTTATCAACTTGTTTTGGAGCCTAATCCTAATCAGCTGCAAATGACAAAAGCTCTATTAGTATTATTTGATATCTATTAAAACTCTGAATACTTTTTTTTTTCAAAAAAAAAGAATGCCTACCTACCTACCCAGTCTATAAAATGTAGGTCGGCAACTGCAAACAAATTTTTTTTTAAGCTTGGCCTTATGAAGCATATCTTTCAATAGTTACATGTAATTGTCTTGCAAATTACATCATAGGATTCCTCAAAACACCTAGTATAACATATATAACGTTAGTTTTATCTTGTATCATTTCAGTGTTGGTGAATATCATACATTTGTTTGCTGATTATATCAAAGTAACTTTAATAACTTGTAGAGTTAAAGAATTATTTTATTTTTACTTTTGAAATTTTTGTAGAGACCATTCTGTGCCATAAAGAAATTGTTGAGGAAGAGGATAACTGGTGGATTTGCAATTTTTGTACAGTTCAAAGGGATTCTCAAAATGGTCAGATCAGAGGGAGGACAACTGAAAATATTGAAAGATACAAACATGTAAAAAGAACAAGAGAATATAAAGCATTTTAAATGGGGAGGATGTACACAATTTCCCTAAATTTGACCTGTAAAGATTGACATTGACTAATTGAAAATGGAATAATCAATAGCTTGATTTTTCAAAGTAATGTGTTGTTACTTACAATAATTCATCAAATTTTATTCTAAAGTTATTTCATATTTTGTTTTGGAACTTTCATGTCATATGGATTTTTTTTCAGAAAATGGCCTAATTATGTTATTTATTTGTACGTGTATAAATTCTCAACTACTATAAACACATTTTAGAAATAAAAATTTGTACAGGCATTTGAAGAAGTATGCACAATTTTTATACATATAATGCTACTGACTTGGTTGTTTCTTGTTTAGAATGTACACTGTGAAAAATAAGTTATTTCTCTTGATGAAAATAATTTTATCAAAAAAATTGTGTAAGCATTATAAGATATTTTAAGATATTTAACCAATGAAGATCGATCATTGTAATGTTATGATTTTTCATCTAAAGTAGAAATATCTGATTTTTAAATGTGTACAAGAATGTGAAAAATATTGAAAGAGAATACACATAAGTGTATCATATGATTTACATATGATACCCTTTGCATATGATTCTCATATGCAGATGGCTTGAAACATACATAAGTGTTTCATATGATTTACATATGATGCTCTTTTCATCTGATTCTCATATGTAAATGGCTTGAAACACACTTATATCATTCATATGCAAATCATATGTAGTGATTTTCATATGATTCACATATGTGGATCATATGTAAATCATATAATTTGCTTCATATGATTCACATATGATGCCCTTTTTCTATGATTCTCATATGAAATCAATCATATGAGAATCATACGATACTCATATGAGAATCATATGTGGCTAAGTTGCCTGTGTAGAACCGGTTTTATAAATAGAATGTGAAAGAATCTATAGTCTATTTCTCTTAAAACATTTCCTTTGAAAAATGTGTTTCCAGACCTTTCTGAATTTGTTTCATGAGTTTTGGGGAGTGTGGCCAAGTTTGTTTAAACTACTGTAACATTGTGTATTTAACATGTAGGACACTTTTCACTGCATTGCATTAATTTTGTAGGCCCGAGAAACGAAGAAAGGGGGTATTTTTCTGATTATAGACTTTACCTCTAACTATAGTTTTTTCCTCTAGATTTATTACAGTGGACTCTCGTTATTTTAAATTTGAACCCTTACAAAAATTAAAGTTTAAGAAGAGGAGTTTTGCTCGTCATTATGTACTTTTTGGTTAGTTATATACAGCTTTACCCGCTAAAAGTAAACATACTATTAATGTTGCTTTACATTAAATTTAAAACAATAAAAAGAAAACTTATAAAACATACAATATGATCGGCCACAACAATTAATCGAAAACTAATAAAACGGCCACAGTTTCTCTGAGTTTTATACCGTCTGTACAGTACTGAGTCCTTTACAAAATTGAATTTTTTTTTAAATACAGTCAAATAGGTAAATCGACACAAGAAACAACATAAAGTTTGTAAATCGACACAAGAAACAACATATAGTTTCATTATTGAAATAAATGTCAAACTGTCATCCCTCCAAAGTAAGGTAAGCAAAATACAGTAATTTTTTTACTTTAACATAAACAGCAGACGACACAAGCAAATCTAAAGCTTGAGAATATAATTACAAAACAAATTGAACAATGAGCAATGTACTTGATAATGTACAATCTGCAATTCTACATAACACAAGATATGATTGTGAAACACTGATGCCCCGTATGGCAGCTTATGACAAAAGGTTAGCGTTTCTCTAATGCAAGTCCAAGGTCAAATTGTTGGTATTACTAAAAAAGGTCTTTTCACACGGTATACATACACCTGTGAAATAAACATGCCTAGTACCAACTGTTCAAAAAATTTGGCCTAGGTTAAAATTTTTTACAAGGTGGATCAAACTCTGAGGTCAAGATCAACAGGTCAAATTGAAAGGTCTTGTCACAATAAAAACACATTGTTAAGTAAAGTATGAAAGCCTTAGTAACACCTGTTCATTTGAAATATTACCGCCAAATTTAAAGTTTGGTATTTTGTTGGTAAAAATGAGTCAATCTCATATGTCAAGATATCAATTTTGGTGGGACTTAAAGAAAGGTTTTTAACAGTGAATACACCTATGAAATATCAAAGTCAAAGCTCCATCCAGTTATTGTCAAAATTTAAGTTTTTGCAGACAGACATATAGACGCAGGGACAGGACAAAACTTTATACATGTACCACCCGAACCTTCGATTACGGTGGCATACTTATACTGAAGGTAAGAAAAATGAAAATACAGTAAACTTCTTTTCATAACGTACTCGGTTATAAAGTATTCTCGATTGCTATAACAAATTCTCCTCATATACCTCTTCTTCAAGTTTCCATTATCAAAGTTTGTATCATGGTTTTTGTATAACACAAATAGAATTTACTTTTACTGATGTACAGAATAGTATTTGCTTAAACTCAAAACATGTCCTACTTTAATATGATTTGTTGTTATTTCTAACGCGGATATATCACCCGTAAGTTCAAATACAAGCCACATAGGTTGACAGTTTGATATCAAATCAATCTGCTCACAGAAAACTTCTCGTCCATTCAATATAATAGAGAAAATGCATTTTTCATTAAATGAAAAACATAAAATATCATTTACATTCAAAAATTGCAAATTCATGATATTTTTCAGAAATTTTTTATTTGTATGTTCACATTCCAAGCAGTAAATTTGACATGGGTCAGTGTTTGTCAATCCAAAATCAAGGGAAGCGCACCACGTGTGTAATTTTTCTGCAACACGTACGTACAATCTTTCTCTCACTTTAATTGGGCGGTCTGTAAAACATATGCACGTACCATTCAAATCTTTTATCCGTTTTGCTAGAGTATTTTCGTGAATGAGTACTACATTAGAGGAATGATATTCGTGGAATCTGATTGGTTCTTTCTTAGGTTTGTTCTCTACTTGGATTTCCTCTTCATAGCTTAAAGGCCGATCATCTTCCATTGTAAATAAATCCTCTAAAACAACAATGGGTTTCAAATGATTGAGCTTACATGAATTTGTTTTATAGAAAACATTATATCTCATATTATGTCTAAAAAGGGTTTTGTTTATGAAATGCAATTTGTCAATATTTGAAGGTTAACACGTGGATTCAAATGAATTAGTTATATAGAAAACATTATATGTCATATTATGTCTAAAAAGCGCTTTAGTTTATGTATTGTCAATATTGGACAGTTATCATTTAGTTTTTTTTACTAAAATATTATACATTGTTTTATAAATGCCCCAACAGCATTTCCTTTAATTTTCTGTCCTACCTATTAAAGAACCATAAAAATATGATTCTATAAATTCTTCTGCAATGTAATTTCAATATTTCTCCAATTGAATACTGTATCTTAAATATTTCTCCAATTGAATACTGTATCTTTTAGCAAACATTGATATATGGGGAACAAAGCGTTAATGAACAGGAATCAAGATCAAAAGTCCTTCGGAACAATGCAAAATGGTAACAGTGCAACCAGGGATCTTTAAAATCATCAGAGGCATGATCTTGTGCCATTGAGCAGAAAGCATCCCTGTCGACTGGTAAAATCAGCCATTGACCGGTTGACTCGAAAATTTGTACACATTGCAGTGTAAAAAAACAGGCTAGACGAAATGTATAGAAGAACGACAATCTACATTTGACTAAAGGATAAATGCATTTGCTAAGAAGGTGATTGTATCGAACATAGATTTTTTAAACGTTGATTTTAAAGAGGTTGTTGATATCCTTAGCTTATCTCGTTTTAGAAAGTGTTAGTATATAAAATATATTCTTGCGTATCGAATCAACTAGGAGTCCATATCTGCAGGTGATGATGCAGTGAACAACCTATATATAGGTAAACATTTGTCAATATACATGTAATATATAGTATATAAAGTGTTTTTAAAAAGTCTAATGAACCAAAACTCCATGGGAAAAAATTCTGTTCACAGACTGTATACCCTCGAAATGTCTAGTTTGAGTAATAGGACACACTCATCCATAGTTTTAATTAAAGAAACTGTAATATCAAACGTGGAATAATTGGCTAATAATATTTAGGGTTCCATAGAGTCCTTAACACTGTCACCTGTAGTATAAAAACTTTGTGATCATCCGCCAACCATCTTGCCTCTTTGGGACTAAACCTTTATATGGGATTGCAACGCATATTGAATATGGTGGGATATAAAAATGGATACATTTTATTAATTTAGATATTCATGTATAACGACCGTATTTTCTACCTAATAAATAAATTATCCGATATCTTTAATCATAGTACATTTAGCATTTTGAAGATATTATCAAATAAAAATGCCCCACCAAAGAAATTTGAAAAAAAAATTATCATTGTTCAATTAATTACACCTTGAATTTTACATCAAAGCATATGGACAGCGCTTTTTTTTTGATATTCTTAAAAGTAATTTAAATTTCAAACAAATCTCTTGGTGAAAATATGCATAAATTCCTCTTTATTTCAATATGAAATGAAAATAAATTATTTACTGCAAAAATTTTGAGAAATCAAAAAAATTCTTCTTTTCATCAAGGACAGATAACTCTTCAAAAACTTTAAACGTGAAATATGACTGTCTCCTTACATGTTATAAGTCTTGTGAATTTGGTTCATTTCACTTTTTTCGTTATCTAGCAATGCTACTTTATACATTGAATACCTTAACTCCTTTATCAACTTATTTCTTGTTCTTGACAACTGTATACATAATGATATCATGTTTTAAGGACAGGTTCATGTAAGAATTATGCAATATCGAAAAGAAATGTTAAGTAACATGAAACCGAAACAGTTCCTGATGATATTAAAATGAAGTATACTATATAGATAATCTTACCATAATTATTTCCCCATTTACTGTCAAATAAAAAAAACCTACGTGCATTTAAACTTTGGGTTTGGGTCCTTAATTTCAATGAATGATAAGTATATAGTAAAATATTTTTTTTCAAAACCCAACCTCCCAAAACTATTACGAAAATGTGACGCATATTTTTTGTTCAAGTTGAATGACAATTACATGTAAGCAAATTGACAGACCTGACAAATGCAAATTGCTTAAGCAATTGAGACCAAAAGTTATACTTGTTTCTTTTAAAATGTTATCTCTGTTTGCTGTTTGGGTGTAACCCCCAATCAGAAATCCTTGGATGTCTTCCAAACTCAACATGTAACCTCGGATGTAAAATTATTCGGACATATAACAAGACAAGCCACATCGCTCATCTGAGCAACTAAGCAAGATAAAAGCAAGAATTATTTGAGTATTGAAAAGTGAAAATGTAAAAGTGGCTTCAGAGTCGAAGTGGTATTTGAACAAACCTAAATCTATACTTTTCTTATGCTTTTATATTGACGATCAATCGATCATAGCCTTGTTGTTCTCGTGAAGAATTTTTCCTATATATTCCTAAATAAAACCTTGACAACCCATTATGACCCCACTCAATCCCTGACCCCTTGGGCTATGAATTTAACAATTTTGGTTTAGGACTCCATGCTTATTACAATCATGCCAACAGTTTGACTGCTTTGTGTCCAGGAGTAAAGAAGAATATTTTTAAAGATTGCTTTAATTTTAGTGGTTTTGCTCCATCCCTCAGGGCCCAGGGGTGGCAGGGACCATGTATGAATTTCACAATTTATGTTTCCCTTCACGCATAGATATTATATGCTTAAAATGATTGAAATTGATTCAGCAGCTCCAGAGAAAAAGATGAAAATGTTTCAAAGTTTACGCCCGATCGACGACGGACGAAGAACAACGTACGACGGACGTAAACAAATAGCAACAGGTCACCTGAGTGACTCAGGTGATATAAAACATAGTTATTTTTGTCACATAATTATTCATATATAATCTACAAGTCTCCTATCACTATGAAAATACTTTTTGCGAGAACCATATGAATTAGTGTTTATTTATTTGCCTTTGTTACACTTAGGTAGAATAAAAATATCAATAATACGATTTCAAGATAAATTTTAACATTCATTTATCTAAAGAATCAATTATGCTAAGTTCTTAATTATCCCCCCTCCTTTAAAATAAAAACAAACCTTTCGCACTCTCATTCTTTTCTATAATGATGCATTTTCTAGACAAAGGTGATAAAAATTAATAAATTTGTATATCATGTTAAATTTTGGGGATTTGGATTATTGTTTTTAGAAAAATTAAAATAATTCCACATTTTTAATCTGGGCCGGTTTTGTTATTTATCGGATAAAAATGTACGTTATTTTTGACGTCACTGTTGCAGCAGAAGTGTTGGGTGTTAGAAAAAGTTAGTGATTTCTTTAGTTTTTTTGTTAAAAGATATTTAATTTACATTGTTTAAATATAATTTCATAATGGTTACATGTACCACATGCAATGATGTCAGGAATGTTTCTGAAAGCGGATATGTAATAGTTTCCTATTATCTTTAAAATGTCGAAATGAGCAATCGCATTACACAACAGTCGAAACGACCGCAGAAGTATAACAACAACAAATATACGTAGTGCATTAAATTAAAATAAATGCATCAGACAGCCTGTTCTAACTATGGATGCTATGTCAATACAGTCGACTGTATTTTGCATTCAGAAACAGGAATGCATAGGATGCATAAATGAATACGAAAAGAGATCAATCTCATAAAATATATACAATTCATACAATTTTTTAAAGCGGATGCTGAATTCCCTTTTCATGTACATCATTTTTTTTTAATTCAGTAGCTTGTCCCAATGTAAAGATCGGTGTCCGTATTTGAAGCATACTCATGAGATTCGAATACATGTAAGTTAAATTTTTATTTTGTCAAAACATTTGCTGTAAGAAGGGTATGGAGTTAACGAACAGTATTCAATCTCAAAGTCCATAAAACAATACAAAATAAAAGCAGAGCAAACACGGGCCCACGAAACAACAGAGGTGGGATCAGGTGCCATGGAGGAGTGAGCATCCCCTGCCGACCGGTCACATCCGCTGTGTGCTCCTCGTCATGATCAGGAAATAATGGAAAAAATCCGGCGTCAATTCAGTGTATAAATAATGGACTAACAATTGGTATGAAAAACGTCAGTCAGCATTTGACTCAATGATAAATTGTATTTGCTGACAAGGTCATTGTATCGACCAAAGAACTTACGAAATGATGACTTTAAACGAGACTGCTGACATTCTTGTTTCATCAACTTGCTTGTCAATAATTTACCTCGTTTAAGAAATTGTTCATACGTAGAGCATGCTCTTGCGAATCGAATCAACTGAGATATATATACTCCGTATGCAGGTGATGAAGGTATATTGCTGCATAAGTAAGGGAAGTTGACGATAGAAAAGTTAAAGTCATCACGTTTATCATATAGTTTGGGTGTTAAAATACCATTAGCGTCTTTTTCAAGTAAAATATCCAAGTATGAAACAGAAGTGTCAGACTCTGTGGTATCTTTTATCTCAAGCTCACCAGGATATATCGTATCGACAAAGAAATGGAAATTACCATTGTTAATTGCCAATACGTCGTCGATATATCTAAATGTCGAGTTGAAGGACACAGCAAGTGTTTTCTTCTTTTCACGCATAAGATTTTGTATAAATTTTGCTTCATATGAATATTAAAATAAGTCTGCTAATAACGGAGCACAATTAGTACCCATGGGAATTCCAATAGATTGTTGGAATACCTGGTCTCCAAAAACCACATAGATATTATCAATCAGAAACTCAAGCGTCTTCTTGATGTCAACTTCAGAGTACTTATGTGTGCAATCAGAATCTGTTTTAACAAAATAATTTGCAAATGACCAATTACGAGGTAAGTAAATATACAAGTTCCATTTTTATTGAAGAAGCAGCTGTCAATGATATCAGAAAGCCTGGATTTTAATTTTTCGTGGGGAATTGTTGTGTATAAAGTTGAAAAGTCGAAGTTTTTAAGCTGGTGATTTTTGTAAAGTCTTGTGATTTCAAATTATCCAAGAGTTCTTTAGAATTTTTAAGTATCCACATTTTATTCACACCACTTCTTGAATATATAGTTGAACAGTACTCTTGAAGTTTGTAAACGATGTTTATTTTCTTTTTCGCTTTTAAAAAGAAAAAAAGCGCAGTCCGTAGACATGTCAAATGTAAAGCGCAATGAAATGGACGATTATCGAAAATTAGTAGATTCTTTTAGCGTACTATTTTTATTTAAAAACGCCCTCAAAATGTTAGCTTGATTCAAAATATCGGACTATTTATTTATTAGGTACGCCTTGGGTATAGTCGTTATACATTGCATAGCCTAAAAAGCCATAATCAATGGAGATCATATGAAAAGAAACATGGGGAGTAAGAGCACTTTTTATGGATGCATGCATTAATGTCAAAGTTGTGAGAGCAACATGCCATTATTAGCTTTTACTGCCACTAAAAATAGACTGTCATCCGTTCTTAATATACACGTTTTCAAAAATCAAAACTTGTTTTGTGAAAAAAAAAATGACTAAATCCTGTGCTTTTAAAATGTTAAAATATTGTTATAATCCAACGTCCGGTTTTTAATCAGATATAAACAAATTTATCATTCGATCACATAAAAAGGTCCTTTCATTTTCCTTATTTTTTAATGCCAGGTCATAATTACTTAAGTTGCATACCTTGCTCAAAATATTGTGCACATATGGAACGTTTAGTTATCTCGTGGCCTCCTCCAGTTTTCACCACCAACTGATATAATCCTTCGTCCTGCTTCCGAACAAAATTAACGATAAGAACTGGGGTTGGCAAATCCACGGAACTTCCTCTGTATTTTTCGTCAGTTACATCTATATCTGTCACCATACCACATTTGTCTTTTTTCTGCCAAACGACCGTGATATTGATCAAACCAGTATTTTCTATATGAGCAAAGTATGTTCCAGTTTCTCCGAAGTAAAGTTTTTCTGGGCCTCTGAGGTCACAACAGGAGTTTCTATAAAAAAAGTAAAAAATTTTAAAAATGCTTGTAAAAATGCCTTTACATCCTAGTGTGTTAGATGCCTTTTATATTGAAAAAAAAAGTGTATCCATACACTTTAAATCAACTCAAAGACTGACAATAGCACGATTGCTTGAAAATCTCATCGATTAATAATCGATTACTTTGAGAAATTTTGTGTAATCGATTATTAATTGATTGCAGTAATATTGTCTTGTAATTGATTAATAATCGATTATAAAGATGTTATCGAAGCATTAAGTAATTACTTAATTACCAGGCTTAAACATACTAAATACTGATGTTTTACACGGAGGGATTCTCTACCACAGAAAGTAGGGACATTGTTCCTACAGTGAAATGTTATTAATTAAGGGGATTAATAATTCTTTTCGAGTTTTGAAATTAATCTCAAAATTATTGAATTTTGTTGCAGAAACTACAGTCAATGAAAAAAATGTTCGTCATTTTTATTGGCCTTGCCTTAATTGGTCAATATAAAAAAAGCAGCTAAACGTGTCACTTCTTTGTAAATACCTATTTCTTCCCAATTTTAGATTGTTGTTTTACAATATATGACATCTATACTTTCTACTGCTGAAATTTTCAAATAATTAATTTCATTAAAGTCAATGGATGATTTTTATCACAACAATCGGCTAAATTCATACTGTCAATGGAATTTTTCTCTTCAAATAAGGATAAATACACCAAAAATTATATTAAATTTTGTCTGCAAAATCATGTATGCATAAAATAAACGTTAAATAGAATATATCTTGAATAAAAAGATATAAGCCCCATCTTCCATTCAACTGATACAGCATTAAATATGACTATACAAGAAAGTTGTGTCATTGGTTTTACTATTTTTGTTTTTGCTACAAAAGAGTTCTCATTCCTGAAAAGAGAATATAAATAATCCTTATTCTTATAAGATCACTTCTCACCAAATACAACAGAAACTGTTCCTTGATATTCATGATAACAACATATTGATGGACTTCAGAAGTAAAGAAAGTAGACAAACTTTTTTGTCAGTGGTGTTTCCATCGTCATTTCAAAACAATTTTAGATATTCATTGAACTCTTTTACGAAAGATTTTTTAGTGAACTAACAGCAATGTAAATAAAACTTTGACTTTATCCAGGGTAAATTAAAGATACCAGATCATTTTATGACTAATACGTCATTGGTGTAACTGTCATTGGCATTACTTCCTAAAGTTTAACACCAATGACAGGAATTTTTACACCATGGACAAAACAAGTACATGTACTTTTGGAGGAGGCAAAATATATTCTACTTATATAGAAAAAATATATTTATTTTAATTCTACTTTGTCACCTAATTTATGGTGTTTGAAAGCATCTTGATTTATTTTCAAAAGTCTGTAAGTGTAAAAAAAAATATTAATAGGAAAATAAATCAAGTTGCTTTCAAAAAAATCTTTCGTAAAAGATTTCAATGAATATCTAAAATTGTTTTGAAATGAATGAACCATTTAACTATGGTGGTGTTTCGATGTTTGAATAGAAAAGAGCGGGTAAAATGGGTTCAAGAACGAAAAAACTGGAAAAGTGATAAAGAATGGAAAAAAATATATATATTTTCCAATGGAAGTCAAATTGTTATTGGGACAGATAACCGTGTATATGTATGGAGAAAGGACGCCGAATCCAACAGTCCTCACTTGATTTGTACGCCATCAAAAAGGAGGATAACACTTATAATCTGGGGATGCATGTTTTGATGGTATGGGAACTATTGTACCTGTCGAAGGTAATAAAAATGCACTTAAGAATTAGAACACCGTGGGGATTCGGGTTAGAATAGGTACTCAATAACCCCTTGCTTGTCGTAAAAGGCGACTAAATGGGGGCGGTCCTTCGGATGAGACCGTATAAACCGAGGTCCCGTGTCACAGCAGGTGTGGCACGATAAAGATCCCTGCCTGCTCAAAGGCCATAAGTGCCGAGCATAGGCCTATATTTGCAGCCCTTCACCAGCAATGGTGACGTCTCCATATCAGTGAAATATTCTGGAGAGGGACGTTAAACAGTATACAACCAATCAATCAATCAATCAATCAAATAATTAGACAAAGTTGATAATAATTTATGACCTGTAATTGCCAAACATTTTCCGAGCAAAGAGTTGTTTTCCAAGACAATAAGGCCCCAGTACATAGGGCGTAGTGATAAACTATATGACTGAAAATAATATTAACTGCACAGATTGGCCAGATCGGTCTCCAGATTTAAATTTAATGTGATTGAAAACATTTGGTTAAAGATCAAAAGAGAAATTAAAGGCATGTCCGCAACTATTGAAAGTCGCGATCAGCTGTTTTAGGTAATTAGACAAGTGAGGGGAAACATCCCTTTGGAATACGTCCACAGCCTCTACACATCCATTCCAGATCGGATTAAAGAAGTAATCCTTATGAAAGGAAATCTGACTTTAATTCCAAGTATAAAAATCCCGTTTAAAACTCCTGTTGTGAAATAAACAACGCGACGCCATTTTGAAAACGACGAATACTTTTGTCCACTGACTGTATTTCATATTTTTTCCTTTTTAATTTAGAACATTTTTATTCATTTTGTACATCAATTGAAATCGATACATATTTCATTTTTTTAGTGATATTATTACCATCACCATGGAAAGTAAAACTGGGGATTTTCATTCTAGAGTTTAGATTTATATAATAGAAATTCTCATTTTTAAAAAGTGTAGCCTGTTGAAAATTAAAATTATGTGCGGTATGTGTTCGAAAAGTTTTCTTTGAAGTCACATGGTTATTTAGGGTATAAATAGTAAGGCCATGCGGTAGCACGGCACATTAAAGCTGACATGAATTCTTAAAAACGCAACATTTTCATCTATGTACGACTTGTTTCATACCAGCTATAGCCGTATTCCGCCATATTTCTTTCAGATACATTGTCTCATTGTAACGATATATACCCCAATGCGGTCGTTACACTTGAATGATTCTTTGGCTTGGGTATCGACTTGTGCACAGCTCCGATGGTAAAGCATATGAGAACACATGAGGTGATCAAGACATTTCAAAACCACAACAAACAACATAATAATCATATTTCTGAATTATTGATTTGAATCAAAAGGAAAAAAATGCAAGTTTGGAAGATAAATTTAGATGCATGAGTACGTGTTTTACAGTGCGCCAATTTATGCAGAATAAACTTAATCTTAAACTTAAAATAAAAAGCAGTAAAATCTGCAAATACATTTTGAAATTATATCATTTGAATGGAACAAAACAACCTACGTTTTTGATTTGCAGGTCCTAAAGATGCAATTGATGCATATCGAGAAAACGCCCCGAACGCTGTAAACGTACCCATACCTGGAAATAAGGTTCTCATCGGTTCGAAGATGTGCACAAGTCAAGTGATATACACCCTGAATCCCATTTATTGAAATATGCATCACAAAAAAGAAATAAACTCCATAAAAGCTCAATAGTAAACACACTGCATTACTGCGTACAGACTAGCACGTCGATACACTTAGTCCGTGCTGATCACATTTTGATCAGGGAAAATATCACAAGTGGAAAGAGAAGTTATTTGGTATTTGAGCGGCTGAAAAGGGGGGGGGGTTAAAGTATTATAACTGCTGTTCATAAGCTATAATTGTGAATTGTTTATCTACATGAACTTCTAATATACATTCTATACAAAGTCATGTATATAGTCTGCAGTTGGTTTGCGTCGCAAAATTCATTTGTCAATTATAACTGATTATTTTAGTACTAATCTCAAATCTAAACCAAGTAATTTGAGGTACGGTAATTATTTACTTCATATCTTATTAGCAATTTATCCAGAATACAAATTTTATGTGTACATTTATACGTTCTTTAACACACACACACAAACACGGAGAAAGGCCATCCCCTGTTCAGATTGACATTTAGGCATTTGATTTTTTTAGGCGGGGGGGGGGGGGTGCAAAAATAATTGATATGACCGTTATTTAAATATTCTTGTTAGACAGACATTTCTGCCGAATTCAATTTTGAGATTTTTTTTGGAAAATGTGTTACTTCGACCACAAAGTATGTGCATTTTGACGAATGTAACTGTTTTATGTTGTTACATAGAGTCTTTCGAGATTTCAGTATCCCTGCCTGATAGTCTAGCTATTTTTTTTTGTATAAAAATAATTTCTTTAGGAGTATTTGAGAGATAATTTTAAGAGCTAGAGTAGGGATACTTGACACTGGTTGAATACGTATAATTTTTATAAACTCTTTTGTATATTGAACTTTCTAACTCTTTCACTGGAATGGGAACACTGGGGACTTTCTCAAATACCTTCTCAAACGTACGTGTCGAACCTGGACCTGGACAACAGACAAGATAATTTTTAAAAAGCTAATTGTAGGTAGAATGTGGAATTCTCATGGGGAGTTTGCTCTCTCTTCCTATATTTTTTTTTATAATAATCATTAATTATTTATGTCTAGAAATTTAATTCACATTAAATTCTATTTTCATTATCATTGCACCACAGAATCAAACTCGTTTATTATACTCCTCGCAATAAGTTGCGTGAGGTATATGTTTTGACCCGTCAGTCAGTCTTTTTTTTTTCTTTTTTTGGTCAGCGCAACTTCTCATAAACCATTGCACAGAGTTTTGTCGAACTTTGCAGATATTTATAGGAGACGATGTGTGTGTGTAGATTTGCACATCACCAGAAAATTCCGAATTCTTCATTTTTTCCAATTTCCGAACTTTCACATTTAGGTTTTGGCCATATCTTGAAAATAGAGATGAATAGTTTTTCAGCGCAATTCCCCATAAACCGCTGCACACAATTTCGTCAAACTTTGCAGATATTTAGGACACAATGTGTATAGATGAGCATAATATATGTAAATTACGATTCCTTTATTTTTTTCTGGGAATTTCAGCAC